CTATAAGGCCATCGAGTCCCATCCCCTGACCAATGCTTAAATGAAAAAAAAAGGATGTTCTATCATGGTCTTATTGTAGAAGCTGTCACAAACTGCCTAGAAGAGCTTCTTGGAGTTGTAAATTGCCTGGAAGAGCTTCAGCCATTGTATGATATAGAAATAAATAAATTTGCTGCTGCTGTTGTTGTGTGCCATCAAGTTGTTTCCGAATTATGGCAACCCTGTGAAGGAAAGCCTCCAAAATCTGTCCATGGCCGTCCTGTGCTTTAGCTTTTCTAAATTCAAGGTTGTGGATTCAGGCCGACGCATCTGGCGGTAGGTCCAGGTGGCTTGGTTGTGGCATGAACAACACATGGATCTCCTGGCGTCGTAAACCACCCAGAGAGCTTCAGCTGTGGATGGCTTGGAAAGGAGAGACGTAAGAGCAATCTCTTCTGCACTCGTGTTGTCAAATGCCAAGGACCTTCTGCGACCCTCTCACAAGATGCTAAGTGTCACGGAGTATGCCAAGCAAAGCCTGTGCAGACACACACATAAAGTACACAGGTATGATATAGGAGCTTTGCCCCCCAGGAAGAATTTGTGCAGACTCTGATGTCTCAACTGGACATCTTCTAGGTGTACTTCTGATTGTACAAGTGGTCTTCAAAAACTTTCTGCACTTTTATATTTCATATTTTATAACTATATTTTATATATTTTTTGCTGATGGCATTAAAAAGTTGGTATGATGCTGGGAAAAATGCATCACAAAGGAAGGTGGTTATGTAGAAAAGGGATGTAGATTGTTTTTGAAATTCTTAATAAATAGAGTTTTAAAAAATGCGGAAACTTTTTGAGGAGCCCTCGTAGCTAGAAGCAGTATTGTATGAAGGTGACTTTGCCCAGGTGATGTGCTTTTACCACATTGAAATCCCCGATCAAAGAAAGGCATTAGAACGTAGAACTATTTGTCTAACTTGGACTTTAGTTTCCTCTCAAATTACAAGGCCTGTAATGATCATTTCATATAAATGGTGCATGTAGAAAAACTTTTCTTTGACCTTCTGCAACTAAGATACCAAGAGACTTTTAGTATTAGATGGCATATAAAAATGTTAAATAAAAAATAAATGAATTTGACTAAAAAACCTACTTCATACTGTACTAAGAACAGCTTCGGCCTAAGTTGCCTTTTGAATGTACATCTAAAAATAAAAAGTATGTGAAATATAGGTGTTTAAAGTATCGTACACATATTAAAGAGAAGGAATTGGAAAATGTGTCTGGTGACAAACCTGATTCACAGTAATATTAATCTTGTCTTTAATTCTGACCAGATCTGAGCATCAATGGAGAAGCAGAATGTAAATATAAGAATAAAAAATACCACTATCGGTTGCCATGGGTGCACACCCTGTCATGTCTGTTTTATAAAACCCACATCAGCCTCTGTCTCGGGACAAATTCCTTTATTTATTGTTCTTAGATGTGAAGATCAGCATTAGCAGATTCTTCACGGGCTTGTAGAACTCTGCTTTGTGGAAACCTGCAAAACCAATCTGCCCCGAAGGTTTTCCTGAAGCAAGTAATTCCATTGCTACTTTGATCTTTTATATAGATATGGTTTCCTCCATCTGTTCGACTGGTGGTGGTTGTCAGCATATTTAAAGGTGACTCTTCCCACATGTCTCCCTGTAATTATCGAACAGAGCAATTCTATAGGTGGGTTGCACTCCCTTGATTGGCAGAGCGGACTACCCTAAGCCAGTTCAGTAAGACCTTTATGCCCATAGGAAACTACCAGGGAAAGCAAATTTACATGGACAAAACTCTGCCGGCACAACAAGGAAATTAGTGACGTTGGAGAGTCTTCGGGGAAGAATGAGCCAACATGGCTGCTCTTCTGCACCCCTCAACTCTGGTGCAGCTTTATGCCTGCAAAGGTGGTAGCGTTCGTTGAAGCACCTTGGTCAGAGCCAGGTGAGAACTGAGATCATCACCCTGCCCTCCCTTTCTGAAATCAGAGGTGCGACAAGTTGGATCCCAGCAAACTCTGCTTTCTCACACATAAAGGTGGCATCGCTTGGCTCCCGTACCTGGAAAGCGGCGTGTCCACAAGTGGGATTTAGCATATGAGAATTCAGCAATATTGCATTTTGCAGAAACACCTAGCGGGAGCAAAAATAAATTAAGGGTGGAGAAATAAAACTACTCCTCTGCACAGTATCAAATTCCATTTAAGGGGGTCTGAGATTATACCACCCCATGCATGTTAAAGGTAAAGGTTTCCCCTTGTCACGAAGTCCAGTCATGCCTGACTCCAGGGGGCGGTGCTCATCTCCGCTTCCCGGCCGAGGGAGCCAGCGTTTGTCCGCAGACGGTCTCTGTGGTCGTGTGGCCGCATGACTGAACACCGAAGTGCACGGAACGCTGCTACCTGCCCACCGAAGTGGTACCTTTTTATCTACTTGCATTGGCATGCTTTCGAACTGCAAGGTGGGCAGGAGCTGGGACGGAGCAACGGGAACTCACCCCATTGTGCAGATTCGAACCAGCGACCTTTCGATCAACCAGCCCAGCAGCACAGCGGTTTAAACCACTGCGCCAGAGAGTTCCAGATAATCTTCCTTGCCCCATCCGGGCATTATTAGGGTGACGAGAGGAACGGAACACACACGGCGGGACAGGAGAGCACATGCACGGTAGTTCCTTCAAGGAGTTCCTTGAAGTTCCTTTCGGCGCACCGCTCACAAGTGTATTCCTTCACAAGCACATGTGAGTGATGCACCCTGGTGGCAAGCGTGGAAATCCATGCAGTGTGCTACAAGAAGCCAGGAAATTCTCACAAGGTCGTGCTGGTTGTGTTGTTTCTGGCAGCTGTCGGTGGGAAGCTGGGCAGGTCTTTACACTTCAGGTCTCTACTCTGGGGAGCAAGACCGTTTATTAACCCGCTCCCCTCCATTTCTGTGACCCAAGGGAAGGAAGATCCAGAACCATTAGCCATGTCTAAGCCGCCTGCTGTAGCTCTGGATCTTGGGCACTGCCTAGTCCTAGAGCAAGGTGCTAGAGTGAGTTACAGCATCTCAACCCCAGGCAGTTTGGGATTTTATGGAGTACTCAGCCCTGCTGCAGTCTGCCTTGTGGCCAGGTTTTGGGGACAGGAACTGCTTGAGGAAGAGGAGCTGGAAAAGGGGGGAGAACAGCTCCTTGGGACTGTGGGCATCCCCTTTGGTGCCTGAGCAGGAATTTAAGGGGGATCTGCTTGGATTATATTGTTGTTTCTCTGATGCGTTTGTCATGGTCTTTGGCTAGTACAATAAACTTCAGCTGATTATCAACAGCTTGGATTGTCCTAGTGGAAGAGAGCTAGACCCGAAGGGACAGGGAGGTACCCCACCCTCATTTAATCTCTTGTATCTCTCAGTGACAAAAGCCTAAGAAAAGCTGACGAAAACATTTTGGCATATTTGGCATGCTAAAATGAAACAGTTGAATCAGTAGCAGCTCCGCAGCTCCTCTAATACGCAGCTTGGGCAGTCTGAACTGCCAACCTGGAGAGCGTGAAAGGGGGAAAGGAGGGAAAGTGGCTAGGAAGGAAAAATGGCTCGCAGTCACAGCAGGGAGAGGAGACAAGGCAGCTTTAGCTCCCAAGTCCCCTGAGAGACCCGTTGGAGGATGGGGTGGTGGGCAAGAAGGGGGCCAGTTCTAGTTATGCTTCATACAACAGTCGCATATCAGTGTGAAAGTCACACGAGAGTCATACATCAATGTGAGTGTTGGAGCAACTAGTTTTAAAGGAGACCCTAGATCCTAGTGGCTGTAATAGAAACCTGATGGAATGGAGAGAGGAGAGATGCTGTCATAAACTCTGTAGGACGTTCTGAGAAAGGCATCCTGGAGAACAGACTGTTCCTGTCAAGCCCAAAGACTGCTATCATGGTTCACAAGAATGGCTGAAGAAGAAGACTTCCTTAAACAAAATGGATGTCTTGCCCAAAGGAGGAGAACTAAAAGTAACACAAACTTGTACAAAGGAAATGCAAGCCAACAATACAGAACCCAGGGGAAAAAATGAGGGACACATTGGTACAGATCAACAATAACGGCATCTTTAAATGTGCCAGAAGTAGGAAACCAGCTGGAGAGGATGTTGGGCTTTCCAAAAGCAAAAGCGTTAAAGGAAAGATTAGCTGAATAAATTATTTCCATCTGTCTTCGTTGCAAACGACATGGGGCAGATACCAGTGTTTGAAATGATGTTTTCAGGAAGGGAGTCTGAAGAAGTAAGGCCACCGGTGCTGAGTAGAGGTGCAAGTTTTGATCTTGTAACAAATTGAAATGCAATCAATCACCAGGCCTAGATGATCCCAACATTCTTTTCGTTCTTTAACTGCTAAATGAAAAATTGCTAATCTTCTAACCAAGTCATGTAGCATATCCCTAAGCTTCTCAAAGGAACGGGGCATGGGCAACATTCCATCAAGAGATCCAGGGAAATTGTAGGTCCAGTGTCCTCTTAACTTTTGTTCCAGGTGGAAAACATTCTTAAATATAAAATTAGCTTAGATGAAAAGATAAAAATTAGCTTAGATATAGTTGCAGTTTATCTTGGAGAAATTGTGGGTTAGGGGAAATGTGATAGAAGTGAGCAAAATTATGCATGGTGTTCAGAAAGTGAATGGGGGCACATTTTCCCCTTTATCACAACATTAGAGCACAGGGTCATTCTATTAAGCTCATTGAGCAGCGAGTCAGGACAGATAAAAGTTTGAACTGTGGAATCGCTACCAGGGGATACGATGGTGCCGATCTGGACGGCTTCAAAAGGGGATTAGACAATTCAATCCTATCACGTGTCATGATGCGATGTGCTTTCGATTCTGGAAGCAACATGCCTGTGTCCACCATTTGCGGAGGAACAGAAATGGGGAGATGCGAGTCACTTCCTTTTCTTTACTGTAAAATTGATTTCTAGCATGGGTTGTACAATAAAAGTCACGTTTCCGTATTTGTTTCAGTGAAACAAAGAGAGTGGAATTGGAAAGAAAAATGCTTGACTACAGCAAATCTGGAATTTGCACGTAAGCTTATTTAAAATTCACATTTCATAGTTTTAATGTATTTTTGGTTATTTTATAATGTGATGTAATGCAATATGAAAATGTTGGCATCTGAGAATTTTGAAACTGCAATTTTAAAATTTAGAACAGATTTATGAACTATAATTTATTTTGAATGTTAATACCAGTATTAGTATTATTCTAGTAGCAATAGTAGTAGTATTATTATTCTAGTATTTGTGGTATTAGTCCGAATTGGGCCCAGACTTCAATTGGCAGCCATTGGAGCTGGAAGAGGATGCATATAATATGTTCCCCTAAGCCAGTCCCCATTAATAATCTTGCTGCCCTCTCTTGGATCAGTTGAAGTTTCTGGAGCACTTTCAAAGCCAGCCCCATGTACAACACATTGCAGAACTCCAAACGAGAGGTTACCAGAGTGTGGAGAACTGCAGCTGGGCCATCTTTGCCCAGGCGTGGCCAGAGCTGGTGTATCAGCTTAAGCTCCGTGGCGCCAAGCCCACTTGTGCCTCAGCTGACGGCTCTGGGTCCAGGAGCACCCGAACGATGGGCCTCGTCCTTTCGAGGGAGAGCGATGCCGTCCAGAATGGGCGGGATGCCACCCAACTGGAGAGACAGACCCCCCACTCACAGCTCCTCCGCCTGGTCTGGATGCAGGCCCAGTCCGTTGGCCCTCATCCTGCGCATTCAGACGGCCGCTGCCTCACCTGGTGTGAGGAGGGATGGCAGGGCCGAGGCTCCTCCGCGTCTTGGTCTCACCTCAGCCCCTGGCTCCAGATGACCCCCCCCCCAGGGGTTTCGTGTGGATGTTCAGTAGCATCGGGCATAAAGTAGACCCTGTGGCACCCCCTGGCATAACCGCCACGGCGCAGAGCAGTAATCGCCCAGCACCACCTTCTGGAATCGGCCGGCCGAGAAGAGCGGAGCTGCTGCCAGGGCAGGGCCTCCCACTCCCAGTCCAGCCAGCCCACCCGGAAGGCCGCTATGGTCAATGTGTATGGCTTGACGACTGCCTGGTGATATGGCGTGGGACCCCCAGTCTCAGCAGTGGCTTCTTGCTTTTCTGTACCACACACAGGTAGCCAAGGAGGAAAGAGGGATGGGAGAAAGAAGACTGCACGGAAGTCTTCTGGCGCTGCATCCACTTGTGGGGTGGATCAGACCATGCAGCGAACCCATTTTCTTAATTACTTACGTGGATTTTTGTTGCACAGATTGATTCAAGTAGAAAGCAACAACATGGAAAACTATTGCAATTCTTACTCCACGTATTTTTTTTGGAAGGGTGTTTCTGCTAGGCAAGCCTCATATGTGTGGAAATTATTTCACTTCCAAAATAAGCTGATGTGGATAGCTAGCTAGCTAGCTTGCTTGTTATGGCTGTGTTTTATTTTTTTCCCCTTGTGTAGAACTAAATTGCAGTACATGAATCTTAAGAAATACTTAAAAGAAATATGTGAGCGTCAGGAGATGTCTCTGCTCCGGAACCAGGATTTGTTGAGGGAATTTGATTGCTTTGAACAGCATATTAGGAAGTTTGCTTCAAGTGCAGAGTCCCTTCAGAAGCTCAAGGTATATATTCAGTACGTTAATGACTAATAATAGCCTGCTTTTCCTATAGTAATACCCCAGAAGATGGCTGATTATGGGTTTGCTCTCAAACCCTGTGTTATCGATGAACCATGGCTTGTCCTTGCATATAAATGCTGCACCTAAAGTTGAGCTCAGAGAAGCCATGGTTTGTTGTTTGGTTGGGAACTCTGGGTTATTCATGGTTAACCCATCGTTAAACTGCAATGTAAGATTTGTATGTAACAGGAAGTCATGATTCAATGACAGCCCATACTCAACCCATATCCTGGGTTGTCCTAATGTGTGAACGTGTGTACCCAGATACCCTAGAATCTCTTTTGGCAATAATTGGCTCTGTGACTCTTCCGGTTGCATGAATAGCATGCAGAGCTCATTTTGGAAATGGGGTGAGTTGAAAGCAAGCAACACTTTATATATCCTTCTCATAATTTTGTAGTCCTGCGTCCACGTTCCTGCTTGCGAGATGGATGATGCCTTGGTTCTACGAGCCATGAAACAAAACCTTAAAGAATGAAGATAAACATTTCTTGGCATTTAATGACAATTTCCTGTGATTTCCCCCCCCCCCCATCCCTTTTGTCTTGCACCTGACTTAAAATTCTGCATCAGCTGAAGCATTCTGGAACGGCCTCAAGTTATTGTATAAGAAGATGGTTGTTTGCTTGCCTGACCATGTCACCTTTCCTTTTCCTTTCGGCTGCATTAGCACTTGCCTTTTGTGAGATTCATTTGGATGTCAAGCGTACAGTTCTTATCCTTTTGTTAATAGAATCTTCATAAGAATAGGTGTGCTGGGTATAAGCCATCAGGAAAACAAACTCCTGTGAAAATAATTACTGTCAGAGGTTGTGTGTGGGTGACCAAGGTTTGAAGATGGTATTAAAAGTTGGAAAACATTTTTCTTTCGAGTGGCAATTGAAAGTTAATACATATGTTTTGGCATGTGTTTGTTCATCTCTAGGAGTAAAGCCTCAAAATGTCATAGATGGTGGAAACATTTAACATGACAAATGCTTTAACTTTTGAGCCATTGAACTTCATCGTATTTTTTATTTATGGCAGTGTGGAAGTGATCCAGGCAAACAACAATTACGTTCTAATTGAGGGGAAAGTTGAGCCATATCATCCATTGAACTCAATGGGACTTATGCCTTCTTAATGTTTGCTGCATTGCAACCTATGTTAACAAGTAGGCTGTTTAATCTTGATTTTCACACCTGTATTCTTACATCAGGCACAATATGAAACAGAAATTAAAAGCAAGCTTATCCTTGAGAAAAAGAACTTATTAAAAAGTGAAGAGAGAGATGGCATTAAACATCAGGTAAGTGAAAATATTTTTAACCATGTAAGGCACATCAGTTCAGAATTAAGGGCTCCCAAGTCCCATTGACTTCAATGGGAAAGTTAAGCTAATGTCTGAATCTCTTCCATTTAAATCCATGGCACTTGGAAGTACTTAGCTCCGGCTGGATCACACCCGTAATCTTTATTAATTGAGGATTTTTTAGTGACTTTTTATGTCGTGTTTTAAAAATCTTCTCGCAAACTTCTTGTGTGGTTATTTCCCCCGTGCAGTTTAAACTATGTAAACTTGCTGGAAAAGCGAAGTCTTTCACTGTGAACTTAATAAATAGAAAGAAAAGCCCCCACTTTAGCTGATGCTCCTTTCATCTAGTATTCTTATGCATTAAACTAAAAAAGTGTGGCAAAATCTTTTACATTTAAGTCTAAACATGTAGCATATATAATTTTGTACATTTTGACCTTCCCCTTCCCCGAACAAAATGGATGGCATATCTAAACCACAGACAAAGCCTGGCACGGAATACTCAAATATATTCCGCCATATATCTACAGAGATGCAGCCCTTCTAATCCTTCCCCCTATCTCCATATAAATGATACAGTTCAAGACCAGAGCTGTTTTCCTTCCCTAAAAGCAGGAAAGCTCTTTTAGATGAAATGTCTAAAAACATCTTGTAATAACTTGGAGCATGCTGGCAAGAGTAGTCACTTGTGACTATGTGTGAAACCCCCTTAGCTTGTCGATATTGTAATAAGCCAAAATGGGTAGCGTTACTCCATTATTCAGAGAAGCCAACAGCAGTCTTGTCCTTTAGGCTACAGCATTCATTAAGGAAAGCTTACTGGGCTGAAAGCTGGAAGGAGATGATAACAGGATATATGATTTTCATATTTAATGCATTCCTCGGAAGAGTATGTGTGCTGCAGATTGATAGAAGAATCAACTGCTACTTTACTAAAAGACTTTCTAGTTTGCCCTATAGCTACCGATGGAATCATTCAGCCAAGAAATTAACTTTCCCTCCTTTTACCTGCTTTATGTATCAGCAGGCTGTGTTACTGCCAGGAAATGTTATTATGCATTTAACTGTTTCGTATTTAAGACTCTTATCAGGAAAGAAACAGTAGGCGACACTATTTTGTGTGTGTGTGTGTGTTTAATAGTAGGAAGAAGGTTTTCATTTTTCTTTCTTCGTTGTGTTAGCAGACGTGAATCTGAGTTTATAGATGTTTTTTTCCCCCTCAATGTAGATTAAAAAGGTGGCAAAACCTTGAATTTAGGCCATCCTTCATAAAAACAGAGCAGTGAGCCTCACTAACCTTGACCTATATAAGTAGGCCTTCTGCAATGTATGAATTGAATTGAATTCAGATATTGATGAAATGCCATGGACAGAGTTCTGGAACTCCCCCTGCGAATGTATGCTGTTTTAAAGCCACAGTCTGAACATGCTTGGGCTTGTGCAAACTATAGAAAATGGCACTTCCTTCTTTATCTACTTATACAAATAGCTAATTTTTAGATTTTATTTAAGTGCCTGAATTCTAGCACCTGCAGTCCTGAAGCACATAGATGGTTGTCATAGCTGCCCTTCCGCTTAATCTTGACTCGTTCCCTGCTTGTCCATGGCCATTTTAGATAATGGCTGGGATCCCAGCAGCACCCCGCCAGAGCAGAAAGCGCTTTGGCTTTACGTGCAGGTGAGGGCCAGGATGACAAGCCTTCCTCCCAGCTGCATTTTTGTTCCAGGGTTTTATGGCGGGGAGGTACAGGCAGCATCAGGGAGGCCCGAAGAACAGGCGATGGGGCACCTGCTGAGGCGGAGGGTGGAGTGTCATGCCGTCTTTGCCCTGGCTGCAGCGGACGTCTCGGCAAGGAGGAGAAACTGGTCCCAAAAGAGTCCTGCTGTCGGAGTCCCCACCTTAGAAAGCTCTCTCCCTTTCGTGGACGTAGCCCAGGTGCTTTCCATCCTTGACCTTTGTGAAGGTGGATGCAGCTGAACCTCTCTGGCCCAAAATCGATTCAGAGAGCCGGATATCTACCTGGCCATGGCACCTAGCTGGAGACCCACTTCTCCTGGTTTTGTTGCTCTGGTGCTCTTTGAGAGTGCTTACTAATGCTGCTGGGGAGCACTTGGTAAGCACTTGCCGTGACAGGACCTAAGCGGCAGGGCAGAGGGCTAAGTTGACCAACTGGTTTTGCATCTATGATAACCGGTTTCTGATACTATCATTCCTTCCTTCATCATCACACTCAGGTCTAGTGTGGTATAAACTATTTGGAATACAGATGTAAATAGGGTCAACCCTTGCCTCTCAGCTTTATACATGCGGTTCCATGGTTAGATCCTCAACACTAATTTTAAAGAAATCTCAGGTGGAAGGACCCTTGCCTGAGATCCCAGAAAGCTGCTGCCAGTCAGAGCAGACCGTCCTGGACCGAGAGGGCCAATGGGCTGACTGTGCAAGTCAGATGCTTGCCAAATCTAATAACTCAACATGTAGGAAGATATTAAACTACTAAATACAACCAGCTTCTGCTCACCTTCTGCACTATTTTTAGTATTAATGTCTTCAACTTTACTGATTTTAGTATAAATTGAAGACACTTAAGCAAAAATTGTTTGGCAACGTGCAGAATTAAGTATGTGAATCCACAGACTGTGGGGGCAAAGTTTTCTTAGACTCTCCCATTCATTCTTAGACTTTCCCATTTATGGGAGCCAGCATGAAAGATCTGGCTTTTCAGGCATGGGTGTATTTTAAAATGGTTAACACCTTGTCCTCTGCAACCCAGCACATCAGCTTTTAAAATTCCCATCAACCATAACAAAAAAATTACACTGTTGATTTCAAATTGTGGTTTTCAGATGGTGCCAGAAGCAAGACAGGTGGGAATTAATGCTGGGAGAGCAATGTCAAGAGGCCTGTATCGTGCGGCAGCCATCTTTATGGGTCGCCAAATGTCAGCTGTCTCAGAAGCTGAAGATTTCGACGTGCAGCACAAATCTTCGGCGCTCACAAAGAGCTTTTCAATTTCTGACCAACATTCACGTAGACAAGCATCACAGAGCAGTTATGTGACAGACAGCTGTGTGCTACAAACGAATCGTGATCTACAGCCCTCAAATAAGCCTGACAAAATGGATGGGAAGACGCATCTGCTGATGGGTGAGGAAATGCCAGTCACATCCAGCGTATCTCACGAGAATGGAAGAACGTGCTGTTTAACAGTAGAAAGCAAGACAAATAATTGCGGGAGCAATTTTGTGGGAAGCAAAACGTTCCCCAAACTTAACTCCCTGTTACATGGAAGATTAAGTCCTGAGAACAGAGGCTCTGATTTAAAAAGTGACAGCCCCTGACACGTGAGCACTCTGTATTAAATGCACAGGGATCGAAAAGGCCGATCTTATTGGCTGGTCTCCCCTCTGGAAATGACCACTCAGGAAAGGCATTCCCAGGTATAATGATGATAATGTACGTAATGTCATGGACTTGCTGTGTTGTGGCTGGGGAGCGGGGCAGTTCTCTTGCGTGGCTGGAATGTTATCAGTATAGCACTGCTGCAAGATCTAACAATACAAAGCCGGTGCATTTCTAATGCAAAGGAGAACACGGATGCAGTTGGGAACCCTCCCTTGCTTACCTAAAGCTTGGTTCACTGCTATAGTGAGAGATCAAGAGATGGCTGGTGTCTTTTATTTATTCCATTTAAGCTTTCTTATCATTTTCTTGTTCTGAGATACAGCCATTTCTCCCCCCCTCCTTTCATTACATTTAAAGGATTATAGGACAGCAAAAGGGCACAACCTGAAGCCTTGAAAGGGGAAGTACAGTTGGAAGATTCTGTTTCGTGGCCTCTCTAAAGACTTAATGAATCCACCATCTTTACTCTTAGATGTGTGTTTTATTCATGAATCGAAGTCAATACGCTTTTTAAATTGGGATTTTATTTATTTTTATCAGTGTGCTAACTCATTTTTCTCTCTTCATAGCTTCTTGATAATGACTTAGTACAGGTATTGGTTGTTTTTTATTAGTCGCAGTGGTAGAGAGCTCTAGCTTCTGTTCTTTCAGGCATGTTCTTTTATTCATATTTATATTCTGTCTGTTCTGAGAGAAAAACCCAAAGTGGCTAACACAAGAGGCACATGAGCAGTTCAAAATAGGCCAGGGGTAGATACCTCTATTTTGTTCTACAGGAAAGCTGAAGGGGAGGACCTGCTAGAAATCGATTCTGTTGGGCAAACAGAAAAGACTGCCTTTCTCTTTGATTTTCTGGTACGGTGGGATTTTTAATGCGAGTTTAATTTTTTTTTTAATGGCTTTCTAAAATGGATCTCTTTAAATAGGCTCTGAGATATTCTTGTTTCAAGCTGCTACCTTTTAAACTGGTTAAACATGAAAAAGGCCACTATGGCTAATAATTGACAATGGGCTATATGTTTGGAGAGGTATCTTTTACTTGCTTGCGATGCAAACTAGTATTTTTCAAGTATCAATTAACATTTCCATACTGTAAAGTTCTATTTAAAGGCAAAGCAATATTTTTTCCTCACAGTTCCTGGAGATAATCTACAAATGGGCAAAACTGCACAGAAGGAAGAAACTGAATGTTCAGATTCAAGCAGTGATCTTACGGTCTCTTTGAGTGAGGAGGAAGAAGAAGGAAATCTGTTAAAATCACAGCAGACTTTACAGAAAGTTGGCTGCAAGAATTCAGGCAACACAACATATAAGGAAGAAGAACATTCATGTTCGCAAGAAAGATTATATGACTCTTTTTCGGATGGAGACTCATCTTTTAAGCCTGCAGTAAGGTAAACTAAGTCAATATCTTCGTTTCTTCCAGTAGCCTTGGCATTTTGGCTTTTTCTTGAATAATTTAAGAGCAAGTGTGTACAGAGTGGGCAACTGTCATTCTCCACAAGCCTTGTTCACGTCTAACTGCAAACCATGGTCCTTGATGCCACGGTTTTACACTTCCTAAAACTTAAGAGCAACTAATCTGTTCTGCTGTTGCTTGTGGCAAGCCAGTGAAGTTTGCAGAGAGAAGCTGATGTAGTTGTGTTGTCTTTCCCAGCATACAACTGTCCTCGTACCAACCCACGAGCTTAACCAGATCGGACTTAACCCACGAATGCCTCGACAACAAGCCATGGATTATGTCCGGTTTGCTTAACCTCTGATCCATCCAGACTTTCTGGATTTGTACGCCATAAAGCAACCTAGGAAAGGGCTGTTTTTGAGGGAGTAATTGAAAGCAGAAATGGGAAAACAGGTAGGAACCAGAGTACTTGTTTCTCAGGCTAACTCACAAACAAGCCCTGGTTAACCAATAGTGGGTTGCTTGATCCTGCAAGCCAGGCCTGGTTCAACTGGTATGCCAATATAAATTATAGTCTTCCTCCTCCTCCTCCTCCTCCTCCTCCTCCTCTACTGCTCGAAGCTCAACACTCTCTTGGTGGTTCACAACATTTAAGTCACCCGTCTCGATTTCAACCAGGCCTGACCCTGCTGAGCTTCCAAGATTAGGCAGGATCAGGTATTTCAGGTCATACACGTGTTTAGATATTTTAAACTTTCTTTCCCCTCAAACTACTTTCCTAAAAGCATTACAATGCTGTCATTTCAGTCCCAGTTACTCTCAGAAGCCGAACGGTGCACCAGCTTTCATTTGGCCCTGTTCACTTTTATTCTTTAAAAGCTTTAGGTCATGACAATATAACAGAAAGAAAATGTGATGTAAAAACTGGACAAATTAAACACAGCTCAAAGAAAATGACTGATAAATCAAAACTGACACAATAAAATTATATATTTAGTATTGTTATATATTTGTTGGAAGCCGCCCCGAGGCTTACGCGAATGGGGCGGCATACAGGTTTCCCAAACAAACAAACAAATGAATAAATAAATTTGACGATAAAATTTCCTAATTTCGATTTCTTCTGTTGTTGTACTTCAGATGAGGTCAGGGACCTTCCTCATTATTGGTCTTTGATGTAAGACATTCAGTTTTGCATTTGAATAGTTTAACAATGTTAGCATCAGATGTTTCCTCTTCGTTGTTTGTGCCATGCGCATATTTAAAGTCCCACCGCTATTTTTAGTACGTCCTGGCACATTTAATTCCCTACCCGTACCCCCAAATTAAGGTTTTGGTCCCTGGGCTTCCTACAAGGTGTTGAAATACTTCTAACATGTTAGGGATCAACCGATTATCATTGAAACTTTACGCCTCCATTCTCCAGCATAACGATTGTCAGTTGGGTAGCTGCCCTGTTGTCAAATTCGCTACTTGTCAATATTGTCAAGCTGGAGGTGAAAGGCTGGTCCCGCACTTTGTCAGTTCCCATCACTAACCTGCGCATCATTTAGTGCTTTTAAAAGTCCGGCCTCTTGGATTTAGCACTCAGAAAGATAATGAGTATTTCAAGCTCATGTTTAAGAAGGAACAAGGCAGAGACCTTTTGCTTGCGCTGCTTCAGTTGCATTCAAGAGGACTTAGCACAGATGGATTGTGCATTACAAAATATAACACATAATTCAAGCTGTCAGCTTAATCAGACTGTTTCCAGGAAGCAACCTGCAAAAGAGAAAGACCCCTTGTTTGTTGACCCTTGATCCATAGCCTGCTGCATCATGTCATCCATTTTGCTTCCCTTTATTTATGTGTCCCTTCCTTCCCCTCCTTTTTATTAATGTATTCTCTTCAAGTGGCACCCTAGAAAGACCACCCAGAGAGTGGAATACAATAGGAAACGCGCTAGCTGAAACAGATTTTGCAAGACCTCAGCGCCGTGAAAAGCACTGCCGAGCTGCTTGTGTGTCCTCACTGGTTTGATGTGCGTTAAAGTCTAAACTTGAAAACTTCTCTCCGGCACCACCTTTATTCTCTACTGTTCTCAGTCACTGTGGTGGAAGTGCATTGCCCTGATGCTCAGCAATTTGACTGTTTTCCTATTTAATGTGGGTAATCCACACTGCTCACACACACATCTCAAAAACCTTGATAAGGCTGCTGGATTTCGTAGGAGTGAGTGCTGCTGTTAAACATGGGAACAAAGCAGGGAGTCTGAAATAAAAATTTGAATAGCTGTGTATACTTCTGTAAAAAGATTAGCTGCTCCCCATTGTTAAAATGCTTAACTCTTAATTTGCATCATTATAGGCGTATTACTTGACTGTACTTCCTCTTGGATCCAAGTTATGCTTTATACCTTTAGTGGGTATTCATCTTTTCCAGAAATATAGGTGTAGAAGTGTTTAAAATATAATGATTCGAGTCTTGTTACATTAGGAAGGGCTAAACGTGAAGTTGTTTGAGCAGTGGGTTTCAGTTCATTGCCTCATTGTTCAGCCATCTGAGATCTGTTCAGTCCCTACTCTAATCATGGTGCATAATATTTCCTTAAGTAAAATAAAGTAACATTTAAAAGTTTGGCGCTGGTATCCAGTGTTGTCTTGGAACTACTGCTAATGATGTTGGACTAGCTCAAGCCAACTTTTGTGCAATGCCACAGTACAATGGGAAAGAGTAGGGACTTGAACTTGATGGCAACTTTCTGCTTTTTCCCATTGTACTTTCATTAATCCTGTCCCGGAGATACTGCGGGATAGTACAAGTTGTGCTAAAATATTCTAGTGAAAAAAGACTTATTGTTTCTAAGCATCGGGATCGAGGCAACTTTTTCTGCCAGAAACATGTTTTCTATAATCCTAGGTTTTCTAATCCTGAGAAAATGGGAGGCACAGGCATGCTACTAGAAACAGTGACATCTGCGTCTCCTCTTCGTCTTTTGTCTAGGAATGCCCAATATGTGTGGAGAGGCCTTCACACCAACTGTGTTTATACAACAGCTCGCTGTAATTTATAGGCCACGGAACATAAACAGGTCATGTGAACCCACCAAGGTGGCTTCAGGGTGATTTCAGTTGGGCTTCCACCTTGGCAAGCCATGGCTTGTAACAGCAGTTGCTTGACCCACTGTGGGTTGTCGTGCCATCTGAACCTGACAGGTGTCCAGTTTAGAAAGTTGCTTCACAGGAGAGGCAAAATCCTCTTGTTACTCTTGCCACGTGGCTAGTGGGTGACACCAGTGCCAACCAGTCCAAAGGGCCCTGTCGGCACTGGGAGGCAACTGTCAAAGGCTTTCCCCCTTCCCCACCATTAGGTGTTCTTGGTTCACCACAGCCAAAAGAAAAACTTCTATCTATACTTCTATATATGCTAAAATAACTTAAACACAATACAACATTTGAATATTGAAAACAATGCAGTAATCATAAAGTAACTGCAGGTTCTGGAAAGAGGGAGAGAGAATCTGTATGCATGTGTATACGTATATAGTACAGTTCTTAAAACAGGTAGAAAAGATAGAAAAAAATAGTTAAAAGATTGTTAAAGGTTGAGAATTCTTGAGCTAACATTAAGCCTAACACTAAGAGGAGGAGGATGGAGATGGGACTGGGGTTGGACCCCTCCCCCAGTGGACCCCCCATACATGAATAGGACACAACTCTGAATGAATGGATGAATGAATGAATCAGAGAATCAGAGAAGAGTAGAGTTGGAGGGGGCCATGAAGGCCATCTAGTCCACCCCCCTGCTGTTGCAGGACACCAGTTCACACCATCCCACTCAGATGGCTGCTCAGTTTCCCCACACTGAATGTCTCCAGTGTGGGAGAGCCCACCACCATTCTAGGCAGCTGGTCCCACTCCCGTATTGCTCTGACCGTGAGGAAGCTTTTCCCGATGCCCAGTCTGAATCTGGGTTGTCGCAGCTTGAACTGATTATTCCATGTCCTGCACTTTGGCATCAGCAAGAAGAGATCTTGACCTTCCTCTTTGTGGCAGCCTTTGGGGTACTTCTAGAAGGATGTCATGCCCCCCCCCCTCAGTCTTCTCTTCTCAAGGCTGAACATGCCCAGTTCTCCCAGTCACTCCTCATAAGGCAGTGATTCCAAACCCTGGATCATTTTGTTGCCTTTCTCTGGACCATTTCTAATGTACTACATTGAACGAACGAACGGGACACCACCATATTTGTGGTTCATCTTTGTGTGCACACTTAATTTTTTGATACAAAATTTTTAATAGGCATGTGTTAATAGCGTGTGTTCTTGTCTCTGCAGAGGATGCTTATCGTTTGAAGGATTCGCTCATGTCCTGACGTTCCTAGAAGAGTTGGTGGCTGGAGCGGCTTCTGGTAGCTTGGCATTATACAAGAGAAAAGCTGTGAATGAAGCAGAACTGGAAAACCTTAAGAGGTTTAATGATTATTTTCCTTTCACGAGGGTGACTGAATTAATACACCGTCTCTTGAGGTGACTGTGTTATGACAGAGAGCCAGCGCTGATGCTTCTACATCTGCTGAAGGAGCTGGCAAGGCTGCTTCTCAACCAGAGACGTACCCAGCAGTTTCGCTTGTTCTCCCTGGTCCTGCCAGTAGCAATAGCAAAAATTAGCACAGTTTGATGTTAGCAAAATTGGAGCTACATTTTGGGGACACTAGTTCCTCAAATATTTTGAATGCTTCATCTGAGTTTAGCTCAGTGTTACAATGGTTATTTCTGCAGGGGGCCCCAATGGCAAATTTTTAGTCCAGGCCTCTGCAGGCTGTTTCTTCCATTCCATGCAAGAAAAATTGACATGATTGCATGTATATCTCATTTCTGCAAGAGGTATGGTGGATTGGGATGTGATGAGCTCATCTCCTGAGTTTCATTTGGTCACCAGTCCAAGAGCCTCTTCAGGAACTCCAGTCTTGAAGCGGAAGCAAGGAATATGGTGTTGACCACGAAGCAGGGCAACTTCATTGCGGGTGCAGCTCTACCCAAACGGATGGCCCTTTTGGTCTCCGATGGGGAAAGCACCAGTTTTCTGGTGTATTGCGGGTCACGGAACTTCCTCAAATCAAAGGGGACCAACCACAGTTGAAAAGCCAGGGGCAAATGCTGTTTATTGCATTTTATATTTAATTCATTTCCAGACAGAAGTATGATGATTCGGCGGGTAAGTAGAACTGCTCATAATAGACTTAAGTAAACATTTCATTAAGTACCTATTTTTGTTTTACAGGCTGTGTAATGAAACTGGCAGCTTAGAGCAAAAAGACCTTGAGTTATGTGAAGCACTTGTCCTTCATCATCTTCAGAGCTTATTGCAAAGCACAATGAATACATGTCTTTTACCAGAGAAAGCGTTTCACGGTAGAAGTGAGATGCTTGATGGAAAACAAGCCAGGTATGACCATTGTTAAGTCTCACACAATTAACATTCTTATAGGTCATGTATATAACTAATACTGAAATCAAAGAATTTCGGGGGGGGGCTGCATGTATTTGAAATATCGGGCATGATTTAAGCATTCAAAATACCATTGAAAGGATTGTTCGACGCACCATCTTACAACCGCTGGCACTGACATTTGTCCCATTGTGTTCAATCGGGATTACTCCTAATGAAGTGTGCATGGCAGTGCAGCCTTGAACAATCATTTTGCATTTCTTTGTCAGCAAAATATGTCTTGGTTATAGGGCGTTTGGGGAGGAAGGCAGCCTTTGAACCAGTCGCCCCACAGGGAGTGGGTAGCTGGGTTCAGTCCAGTGCTGTGCAGGTACCATGTTTGCTGCAAAAGATGGTGGCTGAGGGAGGTGGGGTGCCATGTGTTGGGGTGCAGGTCGGGGGGCAAATCCACTCTGCCTGCCATTGCTGTTCTGCCAGGTCCGACTGAATCTCCAGTCCAGTCCTGCTAGAGAAAAGAGGACCAGGCTTACCTTAAGCCTACTGCTCATTTTGATCCTTGTTTGAACCCCTTGTTATATTTTCTTGTTGTCTGAAAAAGGACTGCTGTTTCCATTATTCCCCCAGGCCGCAGAGGGGCACTTTTCTCCAGTCCTTGCAAATGGCGGCTGCAACTCTTTGTTTTCAATAGGGATCTAGCAACAATTATATGGCCGTGCATGAATTTTAAGCTTTACGGTCCTGTCCATTCAAGCATTTACCTTCATGTTGATCCTGTGATGGAGAGAGTGGGGCCATGCCATGGCAGCCCCACTGGTCCTGACCCAGACTGTCTACGCACGGAAGAGGGGCTTGTCTGTAGCACAGAAGCTGCTCTGCCTGCACTTCCCCATGATCGTGCCTCCGAGCACCACTGGAACCCTTGACTTCATGCACTGCCCAAGCCATGGAGTTGGCCAGTGCTCAGAAGAATCATCGAGTCATAAAATAGTAGAGTTGGAAGGGGCCACGAAGGCCATCAGGTCCAACCCCCTGCTGGTGCAGGACACCAAGAGCAGCCATCCTTGTTCCCCGGGCCAGCCACTTGCTGCCAGCACTTTTCCAGTTACCTCTGCTTTGAGATGGGCTCTGTCAGTCTTCCAGAGACTGGCACTTACAGGCCAAGCCGCAGTCCCTGGAGTGATCCAGGAACACTCTACCAGCTACATATGGAACCTATGTGAGATGGAGATGCCACTTCACTATTTAATTATTTTCCGTACCATCCAAAAGCCAGAGCTCTCTGAGTGGTAAACAGTGATAATAAATACAGGAAATACAATATAGAGGACAACAGTAATAGAACATCATAAAATTACATTCAAAATACCTAACCACATTTTTACAAACATTGAACTGAAACCAGTCCATACCGCTAGGGTTGCTGAGGAATCAGCTGCCGATACCTCCCAACTGCATGAGCTGGGCATCGTCTCTGCAAGAGGGCAGTCCCAAGCCGGCATGGAAATGATATTAAAGTCAACGCCAGGTGGGCCTCCGCTAGGAGCTCATTCCATAATTTGGGGACTGCCAAAGTGAAGTCCACTTTCCTTGTAGCTGCCGCTTGGGCCTTCCATGGAGGTGATATTCAGGTCTCTGATGCCGAGCATAGTATCTAGGTCCATTGTGGCAGGTAGAGGCATTCCATTAGGTATTGTGCTCCCAAGCTGTGCGGGGCTTTATAGGTTAAAACCAGCACCTTGGATCGGGCTCAGAAGCCACTGCAAGCAGGGCAGAACTAGAGCTATATGTTCAGGCAAGTTATTAGTCTGGCTGCCATGTTTTGTGCAAGCTGCAGCTTCCAAAATGACTTCAAGGGCAGCCCTAGATAGAGCTCTTGGCCAGCCCTGGATCGCACCGATCTGGTTTAGAGATCAGCATAGTGTAAATCACTGAACCCGAGCTACCCCTGTTCAGGTAAGAGTATAACTGGACCACCAGCCAAAGCTACTGGAGGACACTCCGTGCCACTGAGGCCGCCTGGGCCTGAAGGGAGAAAGATGGATCAAGGGGCCAACTCCAGCTGTGCTCGAAGGGAGTGCCACCCCCACCCAGGAGAGCCGGAGCACAGGGAGGACACTCTGTTCTTACTCGCGGTCGTCTGCTCGGATGCTTCCGATTCGGAGGGGGAGGTGGAGGTGAAGAGGTGGGCCGATGTCCTTGCAGCTTCAGGGTGACCGAGTGACGAGTCTCGGAGGGCATGTGGCAGCCTGCCCACCCTGCCAACGGAGGGAGGCATTTCGGAACTGGGGTGGGGCGCAAGAGTGAGGGGGCTTTGCTGGCCCTGTAAGGGTATGACAGGCAAAGCAGGCAGTGTCCAGGGTTCCCACCGTCTCATCCTCATCAGCTGGAGGTGCTCGGAGGGTGGAGTCGGAACCCTTCCGAAAGGGGGAGAAGGAGGGGATGTTTTAGCCCAGATTCAATTCTTCACACGGGCAGATGCTTCTCCCATATCTCAAAGGGATCATTACTTCGATTGCTTGATGCTGTTTGGTAGCTTGTCAAGCTCTAATAAAGGTCTCATCTCAGTCTGCTGGAGAAGAAAAGGGCAGGGGAAACTGGCTCTTGACACGGAATGCCATCTAGCTGAATGACCCGCCCATCCTCAACATCTCGGTCTTGTTTGGATTGAGCTTGTTGGGTGGATCACATCCAACCAGACTGGACCAGGCAATGCTCTGAGTATCTCCAGATGTTCAGCTGTTTTAGCTCTGGAGTCCAAGGTCTAGCAGATGCAAGCAATTTTTTTTTCTGGAATTGCTCAGCAAAAAAATGACTGTGGGCCTCAGATGGGACTAGGATGTCCTTGGGGCCAGCATTTAATAGACCCTGGACAACCTGAAGATTTCTGCTGGGCAGCAGATAGACGGTTGAATAGAAGCAGTGAGATGTTGTTTCCGAATATTCCTGTTCATAGGCATTTATTTTCTGGGTGATGGGATTTGGGCTGCATTCCAGAGATCAGCCAGAGATTCAACAGAAGTGCCAGCCATATCAGCTGGAAAATCCCCAAGGATTCTGGAAGCCATCCAGCTTCATCAACCATCAGGAGTAGACCCCTTTTACAGGTTCCTCAGAGGGGGAAAGTAGAGATTAGTCCAAATCTCATCAGGTAGAGATTCAGCTCTGACAAAAGGACTGATTTGGAGTTCCTCGTGGTTCTAGGCTAAGCAAAGCTTTAAAGGCTAAACCCAGCACCTCGGATGGGTTCTGCAAGCAAATGGATAACCCACTTAAGTTATACAGGACTGGTGTAACATCTCCCAGTAATGGTTAGGACCATGGTGCACCAGTTGGACTTCTCTTAAGTGCAGCGCAGCTCTATACAGGAAGCACCAAGATATTTAAATCTGAAAATTACAGAAACGTAGCTCCATGCAGCAAGATCGGCATATCCAGCAGTGGTGAGAGCCTCCGTATCCCAAAGTACGTGGGATTTTTAGGTCCATGCCCTTATGAGTGAGGTGCAAAGAGGAACGTTATGAGGTAGAAATAAGCGTGTTGACTCGCACTGTGCATCACACAAGCTGTTCATATCCTTAAGGAAAAACTGCACGAAGTAGATCAGTTTTCAAGGCCTTCTTACTAAAGGGGCAGCGTGGAAATCGACCAGAAGACAGCTGCACTGGTTGCCACTGGTGTTGTGTGTTGAGACTTCTAGGGCCTCCTTGGCATCAGGCTGGTCAGTTCTGCACCAACTGATGTTTCTGATCCATCTTCCAAGGCAGCCCTAGTAAAGTATCTTGCATCCTGCCTTTCCTCTAAAGAGCTCAGATACGAATTCATGGCAGCTAACCTGTTTTATCCTTGCAAAAATAGCTTCAAAGTTGCTTAGCTTGTTAGCTGCTTGGGTAAGTAAAGAGTGGGACTCCATTTTCCTTGGTCAGAGTCCATCATTTTAAGCAAATGCAAGGTATACAGATATTAAGATCTGCTTCAGATACATTTAAATTCATGTTACTCCGATTCATTTTTGGATGCTATTTGACAAAAGATTTGCAAACAAGATCTCAGTCTCCATGCCTTGATTGTGGATGAGGAAGCTGATCTAGCATGCATTACAGCGACCTGGGTGGGTGAGCTGGTCACCTTAGACATGGCCCAGCTTTTCCCCATGGTTACTTGATGTAGCCCCAGGCCAGGATCAAGTCGTAATCCAGAAAAGGCTCGGTCTCGCCAGGAACCTGCGCTGCTCTTGGGCAAGCTACCCCTTGTGTGGTGTTGCATTGAACCAAAGAGACGGAAGGTGCTGTTGGGGTAAACCCACTGTGCTCCTCAAGGGACTTCCTGACTGAATTGGCTGAAAGTCTCAGATGTGGTGCTGGAGAACCTGAGGATTCTGGTCTTGGGAGATGTCAACATCCAGGGTGAAGCTGCCTTCGCAGGACCAGCTCAAAACATCCTGTCTTCCATGACAACCGGGGCTGTCCTTTGTCACCAGCCAAACTCAAATGATCGGACATACTCTTGGTTTGGCTTTTATGGCTGCACGTGAGGTGACTATTTCAGAGAGAGATTGATAAAAGAAAGACAAGAAAGTCCAAGTTAACAAACTTTGGGGAACAGCCGATAGTTCTACAAGTTAATTAATCTATGCTGCTTTGTTTACCAAGTTTACAATTCTTCTTCATTAGGCCTGAACTAACATCTTATTTTGCAATGACCTGGGAACGATTAAGCAAGCACATCTTATTCTTGCAAAAGCACCATGTTTTACTTGAACAAGAAGTGAAAGACATGTTTGGTACCTTACTAATCTCGGAGAGACGCGAACAAGTTGGCCTGGTCAGTACCTCTTTCCTCGGATGCTGATGTGATTTGTCAGACTCACTTGACCGTGTTAGGAATGTGTGAAGAATCTGATAGGGAGAGACAATTTTATCTTTTTATTATATTTGCACCCTGTCTCTTTCCTGCAAGGATGCTACAGTAGTTTACAGAATCCTCCTCTCCATTTTATCCTCAGAACAACCCCATGGGGTAGGTTGGGCTGAAAGTCTGTGACTGGCCTGGAGTCCCACAATGAGCTCCATGCCTGAGTTGGGACTCGAACCTGGATCTCCCAGGTCCGCAGCCCTCTGGTTCACTTTGATCAGCGCTGCACTGGTGCCAACTCCATCTGATACAAGTCAAACCAGCACACTGAGTTCTATTTTTAAAATAGGCTGAATTGCGTGTATTTTTTTTAAGCTGGGAAAATCTGTGCCAAATTCAGGCCTCCGCTTCACCATGTAAGCACATTGCATAAAGAATTGCAAAGCAGAGGCTCAAAATTAACTGTCAGAAGATTCAAGGTAGCCAAAAAGTGGGTCCATATGCAATGAGAAGGGTTTGCTCCCATGATTCTCATATTAAATGCTATAACAAGAACATTTGGTGCCTGCTGCAGTTTGACAGCAGGTGCTTACCGGGACATTGCTCCCACAAGCCTTCCCATCTCAGCCATCTGGAGTTGCACACTTGTGCAAATTTGGAAAACCAGCCCCCCACAAGGGAAAATTGTTCCCCTTGGGGCATGCCAGTGGCTGTCTCTTCAGAGACTGGGAAAACCAAACCCATCTCCAGAAAAAAGGGGGAAGTGTGGAGTGCCGCACCGATGGCCAAAGGGCTCGGGACTGTAGCAGGACAGCGAGCCGTTGATGCTTACTCAGATTGCGGCTCCAGCGCCTGATGGAGTGGCTGCCATTGGCAGAGCTTGGCTGAGCTCAGCAAGGACGTTTTGCATTCTGGTTACCTGGCTTCAGCCGACTTGACAACCCATCTTGAGTCCGGCCAGCTCCACAGCCGGTCAGGGGTTGGCAGAGGGACTAACCACCCACAAACTGTCCACCTGATAGCATTGGCCTTGGTTTGCACAGCAGGAGAACCAGCCATGGGTTAGGGACAAGCAGCGTGATGCCACTTCGTGCAAACCCATAGCTGACTAGAACTGTGCTGACTTCAACTGCAGCAATTCTTATAGCTTGTATCAGGAATGGTCTGGGGCCAAAATTCAGTATTTTGACTGAATAAATTTCTTATAAAAAGTCCAAAAGTGGGATGCAAACAAGAAACAGACTAAAACATTACGGACTGACAAAAACATAACCCAGCAGAGAAGAGAGTAACAAAGAAGTAACGGCCATGCAGTGCAGAAAAAGAAACGTGAGGAAAGACCCGCCCGAGGCTTCGGTGAACCACCTGGCCTTTGCCGTTCGGTCCTGGCTTTATATTAGGTGCAAGGGAGTGGCGCAGTCACGAAACTTAGGCAGCGATTGATCCAACCCTCTCATGGTTGGTCAGACACTTGGATAAAACGGGTATCTTTCAGCAGATAATGTGAGGTGAATGATGAAGTGGGAACTGTTGAAGTTCTCATGCGCTTGCTGAAAGAGATCTTGGGGAGGCAGATTGATAACAGTGGCATTTGCTCCTTCGTGGACACAGCCGGTCAAGGGTTCAAGGAAAGCAAGGAAAGCAAGAACAATAACACGGTTATGAGATGCATCCGTTGGTTGGTCGGCTCCAAATACATTAAGGCAAAAGCTGAGAAATGTTCCTTAACTTTACATTTGCCATTATAATACTGTTGCCAAAAATGTTGTGGCAACAGGGCAGTTTTAAAGCTTGTTTAAAGGGCAGGCCAAAAAGAAACAGAGATGTACTTGTTTTTATTATAATAGCAGCTTATTTCTCTTGCTGTAGGCTGCACCACTATTGAATGCCAGCCTTTCAGAAGAATGTAAAGACAGGTCACTTGCTTCTAGCGATAAAGGCTCTCGTAAATCTCGGCCAAACAATAGCAAAGAAAAGCAAGGTAAATATGCACAATATTTGGCAACTACGGTGAGAGAGAACAATAGTCTTAAAAGACTCATTTTTAGTCTCCGACTGTAGTCGGTATCCAGGAAGTGTTGATAAAATGCAGCGGTGAAAACTGCAAGGGATGTTTGTGCCTCTTTATCCACTGCAGCGATGGGAGACACGGCTCTGTAATTAATGTGGCTCTACTCTGTTCGTTTCCATTATGTAAATGTCAGATTTCGTGAGCGGAGCGCCTTGCGCCATTGAAATGAATGGGGCAGTGTCCACATGCCCATGGAGTCCATGCTCGTGGCCCGACCCGAACCGTGTGAAAAGAAAAGATGGTTGTCCGTGTCATTATATTTTAGTAAAAGATGTTTTTGTCTGTGGCTTAACAGAAGCAATTAATTATTTGTGTTTTTGAAAAAGTGACATCCTCCTGATCCAGAAATAAATTAGAAATGGAACAATGAGTTATCCCATTAAAATAAATTATGTAAAGAAAATGCCTGTATGTTGTAAAATATACTTCTCCACAGAAACACTGTTAGACACATTTTTAAGCTTGTTAGTGCCGAAGGAGCTCCGACAGAGTTTTACATTTCTTAGAAGTAAGACGCGCCATACTGAGAAAAGCCATGTGTTGGATTTTCCAAATTTATTTTGAAAAAAAAAAACAGGGAGGGGGTGGATTTGCTGGATGAATTTGTTTTGCTGAAGGAAATAATTTGATTTAGGAGCGGGAAAGGCTGACTAGCTCAGTGTGGCGTTGCATCAAAGGCCAAAGAGGACAAGCAATTAGGATACAGACTGCTTTACATGGTAAACATAAGCAGGCACGTTTAGATTGCTTTATTAGATTCCCATCAAGGGAGAGGCTATGGTTTAAACTAATTTTCTAGGTTTAGTTGCTTTATGTATATCAAATATTGCTTTTAGATGAATGCAGTAATGGTGGTGGCGATTGCTGGCGGAGTTATCTCCGTCCTTTAAAATGAACCAGAGTCTCTAGACCCAAACTCTTCAAGGTATCTGGCCGGTTTACTGTTTTCTTTGGCAGCTGCAGAGATAGTAGTGACATATTTGACTAAAGTTCACAGCAGGGCCCTTTTGTAAAGAACTGTAATGGACAGTTTAGATCAATAAACAAGAGATAACAAAAATGAGAAATTAAAGGGAATGGCGCTTTAAAAGACAACAAACTGGTCTGATCACTGTGACTTTGAAATGTGCTTCATTACTGTGTGTGTTCATATACAGAAGGCACAAGCTGGTGTGAAGATGAGAGCAAGGAAGAAGGCCTGGTGGAAAAGATTCCTATTGCAGGTAAAAGAAATGGCCTCAAATGCGGGGTCTGACTTTATTATATAATCAAAACATTGGCGTTTCAGCAGCTTGTGATTCCCCTTAATAGTGAGTAAATTCAGCTACTACATACTGAGCGCAGAGATTAAACACAAGATCATAAAGTCCGCGCTCATGTTAACATAAACCAAGAAGGAAAATAACAGTGCCTGTTTTAATTCCTTGTAATCATGTTATACATTTTAAAACCTTGTGAATATCCTCTGTCATTTTAGCCTTTCAGGTCTTGCTATCAGTGTTACAAAGGTCAGTCTCCATGGGGAAGGATCAGTAATTATATGGCAAACTACAGATGTTTCTGATTTGCCTCTTTTCTTTTCTGTAGCAATTGAATGTGTATCATTAGAATAAGAGCAGGAGAAAAATATCGGAGATGAGAAGCTGGGTTTATGCCTCAGTCACAAAGGCTCTCTGACAATTTAAAAATATTTTGCAATAAGATTTCATCAAGACCTATTAAGATCTCTCTTTTTAGAAGCAATATTATGTTTGTTTAGGAAGAATATCAAAGATAGTGCAGCAGTTTGAGCACAGGAGAGTGTTTACATTAGCATGCCCAATTGTAGTAACCTAAGTGTAGCAGACACGTTCTTTTCTGCAGAAGGGAAAACAGAACTGCATATATAAGCATTACTATGTTTGTGTGCAAGCAATTAGCAGAGAAGTGTAGAAAATTACTTCTTTAAATATCTACTTTGGCTTTTTTAATGGGAAAGGTGTGTGCAAATATATCTGTATATTGCATGTGTTTTCTGGTTTAAAAAAGAAGCAAAAGTAGTTGGTTATACAAAGAAAAATACAACATTTATATCGGGCAATACCTTTAATTAGCCAGCTTAAGGTCGCAAAAGAAACGCAGGCATTCAAGATCTTGAGAGCTCAGTTTATCAGTCAAGGATACAGAAAGTTGCCAAGGAGGCATTGGGTAGAGGAGGAAAAAATAAAGGTAAACTTTAGAAGCTTTGAAACCTGCATGGTCCAAGTCTTAAGATGAACTGTGCGGGAGGCCATGAACATTCAAATTAGGCTCTACCAAGTAATTTAAAACTATGTGAACAACTTCCAGCACTGACTTTCAACAGTTTCTCACCAAAGGTGAAAAAATAATCTTACAGGTATCTGGATCTCAGATGGGAATGTCAGCAGGCATTGCTTTTTCAATTTCTGATGTGTGAATCTGGAAAAGGGTACCATGTATTTTAATGTTCTTGCTAATACACGGGATTCTCGCAGAAGAGAACAACACAGAAATTTAAATGTGTATATTAATGAGGAATGATCTTATTCTGCTAATTTAGGTATATATTACCCCAAGATACATCTGTTGGGGTAATATATTTCTGTTTCTGTTTCTCAGAAACAGTTTTTGTGCAATTACTTAGGATCCTAATTTGGAATGCAATGCGAAGAATTGACTTGGTTTGCCCACAATTATGGATGGCTGCTTAATGTTCTTCTGTCATCACTTACGACCGTGTGCGGTCAGTGATCGAATGCGTTCTTCAGATCAGTAATAACCCGTGCCAGTCATCTTGGGAAAAGACAGCAGCTGAACCCAATGACACACCCAGCAGTAGGTGGAAGAACAGTGATACCAAAAGGAATTTTGGGCATTGACATGAAATCTTTCCCATTCCCACATTTAAGGAGGGGAAATATTTAGCAGACCTCTGCAGAGGAGGTGCGGCAGTGACCTAGTCTCTCTCACCCGTCAGTATTCAAGTAAAATATGAAGCAGTTACATGCAGGAGGTAAGGATTTGATCTGGGTGCCTGCCTTTCCTGCTGACATAGATTTGTCCGTACACAGCGAAGTCTGTTTCCTTCCGGAAGCAGAAGTCCTGTGTTGCACCCAGACTTCTTGAGCTAAGTGGGCTATGAAAGCTCATGCTAGAAAGTGGTACAAGACTCTTCTATTTGCAAAAGCATCTACAGAAAATAAACACTCCCTTTCTCTGCATGGCCTCTCCTAAGGCGATTGTCTAGACCCACTTTGGTGCCAGTGTGTTGGCTTCCACGTGGTGGGAGAATTTCCCCGGTGAATCTGGCATGGAGAGCCCCTCCGCGTCACCAGCCCTTTCCCTCTGGCTTTGGGCAGGCTGTCTGCCTTTTAAAAGTGGGACCAGCTGCCTGGAGAGGTGGGGGGCTCTCCCACGCGGGAGGCATTCAAGGAGACACTGGGCAGCCCTCTGAGTGGGTGGTGTAACATGGTGTCCTGCAGCAGCGGGGGGGTGGACCCGACGGCCTTCATGGCCCCTTCCAGCTCTTCTATGATTCCATGGCAGTCCATGTAGCAGCAGAAATTACAAAGAGGAGATTCGTAGTAGCAACGTCTGTTCCAGTGAGTCTGCTTTGTCACCAGCTGCTGCTGTTTGTCACCCTCCTCCTCCTCCTCCTCCTCCTCACGATCGCTTGATTGATGGGCAAGAAGCCAGTGATGAAGGAGGAACAAGCATCTCCTGCTTCTGCTTCTTGCCACCATGTCTTCTCACCACCATTGGCTGATGGAACCAAGCTGCTGCTGTGGTACGGAAGGGCACCTCAGGAGGTTCCGGTCAGAGCCCCCTGTTGGGCTGCCAGCTCTGAGCATGTAGCCAGGCATTCCAGAAACAGGTGCAAGGAATCCCAGATCACGAGGCACTGAGAATGCATAGAGGGCGACTCCATTCAGCTGCTTGGAGTACGTGGCTTCTGGAGGTGGTGGATTGCACACGGGTTTATTTAAGCATCTCACAGCCAGCAGAGTGAATATTGATTCAATCCGCATGGTACAGTTTGGTTTTGTTCATTTTTGTGGAATGATAAAAGTATTTTGCACCTTCACCATGTTGGCTGTCATTGAAAAGCAGGGAGTGGCAATGTCAGTTAAATCCATTTCAGGGCAGGTTGGCAGCATGACAAAATGTTCAAAAATCAAAGGCTGTGTGTGAATACTTCCACTAGGCATTATATTAATCAATAACACTCCTCCCTCTAATGGAGTTGAATGTGTACTGGCTCTGTATTTATCTATATAAATACCTCAGCGGTATTTCTGTTACAGATCCATAGCTGAATTCTATAAATCAGCTTAAACCCTTCCAGTGGCTTACAATGAGCACCTACACAAAAATATAGAAAATGTATGGATTACTTACAACTTTTTAGTATAACACAGTGTGCTGCGTATTGCAATACTTATTGAAAGAGGCAAATAAATTATGAAATGCAAATAAATGGACAAGAGAGAAAAATTAACAGAACTCTCTGTGGGAATTTCTGGGCAAGATTTATGAATTGAAGGCAGAGGGACTGGCGTCGATTTGTTTCCCTTTGCTAACAGCTCAGTGTAGCTCTCTCCTTCATCCCGATTTCCATGAGAGACTGCTAGGCTGGATAAAAATAAGTTTGCCAGCATTCTCGCCTCTGACGTAGTCCGGAGAACCATAGAACTCTTCAGAATCCCGGGACCTCGCTCTTTGGCCTTGGTGCACTGCCTGGCCTTCCTCTTGGCTGGGGCAGAAATGAGAACAGCAGGAAACGGCTCTCAGAGAGGGGGAAAGCGAGGAGGCAGGGGCTGCCTAGCTAGGCCCATTCCTGGGAATGGGCTGCCTCCTTGCTTTCGTCTCCCTGGTGCTTGATTCAGAGGCATGTGTGCATTTAGCAGTGGGGCCACTGGGCTGTGCCCGAAATTTGCAGTCAGGGACTGTCTTGCTGTATGGATTGCAGGCCTCTGTTGGAGCTCTTTTGGCCGAAGCGGGGGTTCAGATATTATCAGTCAGTAAATGTAAATGGACGTGAAGCCCTTTCTACCCTGGAGTCTTTAGCATTGCTCAGGCATGGATCTTCCGGGATTCCACTTCAGTAAAGCTGTGATTCCAAACTGTGCTCAAGTTAGTACTGTGTTTCCCATAAGAAGCATAATCGTAAGCATATCTGCTCGGAAGGAAGTCCCATTCCTTTCCAGAAAGGATGCTCGGAAGCAAAGCTTTTAGCTGGCAATGGTCTCTCCACTTGTTGCAGTCGATGCAGCTTGTGCTACTTCCAGCTGCTTGCACTCCTCCATTAGCTATTTTGCTCATTCGTAGTTTTATTTGTTAGTGCAACTGCATCTTACAAATTAGCAATTTCCCCTTCCTGCGCTTGCACTTGAGCACAGAATCATCAGCAGCCGCTTGCCAGTGCTTTGCCAACCCTCGGTGGACGAGGCGAGTCCAAACTTTCTTTGTAAGGAAATTGCCGCAAACCAGCTCTTCAAAAGATGGGAAGGAATTGCTGTTTTACATCAGTTTAACCACGATTATTGTTTAGATTCTCCAGAAGAACTAACTGCCATTAACTCCAGAGTACAGGCTAATGCTGGCTTGAGTAATAGCAACCCAGAAGTACCTTTCGGCCTTTGAGTGCTGAGTATTTTTTGTGTTCCATGGGGAATGTTACTAATACAAGATAGAAAACAGAGAACATACTGTTTTAAAGTGCATGGACATGCTAACGGAGGCTAGATTGCTTCTGAATTACAGTTGCTGGACTTGCAAGGAATAATTTAAGTGTTCTATGAAAATAGACTTTTGAAGGAATACTTGGATTTCAGTGGATCTGAAGTAGCAGGAATTGATAAACGAATGGTGTGCTTAAGTTTGATATATTGTCATTTCTCCCTTTGTGAGATTAGATCTTTCCCGCAGTATTGAAAAGGGATAAAAGGATAATTTTCAGTTAACCAGACAGTAGAGAACTCATTTTTAAAAAATCTTCGTTTCGTAGCTAGATGATAAGAATTTTAAACTGGGGAATCTAAACCCGTATTTAACAACAGGAAAATGTACTCAGAGATTGGTAGTATCAATAGCTTCATTGTAATAGTACCCTGTTCTGGGGTACTGGGTTTGCCCATCTGACGGGGCACCTGTCTCATAATGAACCTGTTTGTATAGGAAGATCTACACAGGAGTTCCTTCTGAGGGCGCTTTGCTTAGGGTT